TTAAATAAAACTAAAAACTTAATAAAAGACCTATACAGACATAATAAATTCAGACATAATTGAACTAAAATTAAAATAAATAACAAATACAAATAATACAAATCAAATGACAGTAGTTTATCAGTAATCCTAAAAAAACACACTGCCAAACACACGTTAAAAAAACAACAACTTACTTACACATAGTAAGAAATGGTTATAAAAACTGAAACAGAAGTGAAACAAGTAATAGGAAAGAATAGAGAAAATACAAAGCTATACTTATTACAATATTACATACTGCACCTTTAAAAGTGCATGAAATGTTGCATGGCATCGTAACGAATCGTTCTTTTCGAATGTTTTCAATGAATTGGTTGAACCGCTTCATAAACGGTTTGAACTACTTGGGTCTTAAGAGGCTTGTTTGAGATGCGCCTCGCCTCGCCTGAAATGTAGGCCAGAGCAGGCGGCTGCAGTGAGCGCAGTCAAGACGGACGGTTCTGCCCTCGAAGTGAACAGATACCAACGAGATCAAAGACAGATATCGCGTTATTCTCACTCATGTGCTGTGCTGCTGATATAATTTCAGCTCTGTTGTTTTTATATGAAAATAAATAAAATGAACAAGACACCCAAAGTGCTTTCTATTTAATTCCATACGAAAGGCGTATTTATCATCCATTTTTACTTGTATTTTAGATTTTTATAGAAATATGACAACAATCACATATCTCACACAGAGATCGCACTGTCATAGTGTTTGGGAATATTCATGCATAATTTAAATACATAAATCACATGAAACCAGATAAAGAAATAAAAAAAATTAGAAGAGAACACAGCATCACAGTTGTCTGGACCAATAAGCATTAAGCTGTGTCGTCGTCAGTCAGTCGCAACTGCGCTTGACTGCACAATCCGACACAGCCGCCTCTCGTCGCGAGAGTTTTTTTTGCACAGGTCAGCATGACATCAGAGCAAGTCGGCCGTAACTCGGACACTTTTCTAAAGGCGGGCGTACACGGTGCGATTTTTGCTGTTGTACGAGCTGGCAGGCGATTTTTTTTCTCTCAGGAGAAAATCACAGATGCTCGCATGGTCGCGGCTCGTACTAATTCGTGTCGTGTGTGACTGCCTCTGTACGATTTTCGGATAAACTCAATCGTGACATGTGCCAGAGCTCACGACGTTCCGACCTTCAGAATCGCTCCGTGTACGCCCGCCTTAACCGGCATGCATCTCGCGGTGATCACCGGTGATCGGTTCTGCGCAGATTTTGCTCATCTCAAACAAGCCTATTGATTCACTCCCGAATCGAACTAAATCGGTCCGTGTGATTCACAATGAACAGAGAACTTATCAGAGCTGATTACATAGTATATTTTTTATATTTAATTATATTTCGCATTATATTTAATATATATAATTAGTGGTATTGTACGGTTATATTAGGTATATTTAGGTTCAGGGACATATACAATTATAAAAGACACCCATAATAAAAATTAATATGAAGGAAAGTATCATGTTAAGTAGGCCTATGTACCATGATATACAAGAATAGCTGAATTGATTTTCTGAACCGATTGTGTTCGAAAGAAGCGTTTACTGGAATTGATTCGAACTTTTACTGGGTATCACGTTTTAAGATGCCTCCATGTCCATCACACGTCCAAATGGGAAGGCCCCGCCCAACAATTATAAAAGTGTGCATGTCATTAGCCATCCATCAGGCAAAGAGGGACAAGCGCAAGATGGAAAGGGAAGCACAATCATCCAAAGGCCCAGGAAACAACAGTGCAGCTTGTAGGTGGGTATGTTCTTCAGCTCTTAGTGTGCAGATCAGTGGCTGTTGGATTGTTGCAGTGCCACCAAGCAAACAATTATGGAAGTAATATATCAAGACAAAGATCTGCAAGTATATACGAATTGTGAGACCCAAGTCTCGTTTGTATAGTTGTCTCCCTCCAAATTCGCTGTTTAATCTATAGAAAAGACACGGGCGTCCCTGGTTCGTCAGCGCGCGTTCTGCGTGACGTGGGTCATGATTGGTTGGAAGGGCCACAAGGTTAGGGGCCTCCAGTCTCCCATATCACATTAAAATGTCTCTTTACTCGGAATGAATGTTATTTTTCCTGCCGTTACATGCACACACTCCAACGCTCCCTTTTTATAGTAAATCTGGCCTGATAAAATGTTGCATTCAGCTTAGGTTTATCGCAGTTATACTGTATTTTTATTTCATAGCTGCCTAATGAGAACTGGCATGGAGAGTTTTATCGTGTGGCAATACTTTGCACACATTGCTTACATCAAAGAGAGCATAAAGTCGACTGTAATTATACTACTACGATATATATATAGTTTATAGCTTAAGTCCCACAAGGACATACCCTTGAAAACCATGATTAAACGCAAAAACGCACTAAAGTTACTCAGCTGGAGGCCAAGGCAAGTGTAAGAAATGTTTTGCATGTCCACTATGATGCAAGGCAAGGAAAAAATTTAGTAAATTCTTTTTTTTCTTTTTTTCCTCTCTCTCTCTCTCTCTCTTCCCCCAACTCTTCAATCCGTTTACTTGCTCCAACAACTTCATTAAATCAAGTTTTTGGAGGCTCTCAAAATGGATTGGTATCGCACACCGTGTAGACCGTCGAGAAAAGGCAGCTCAAATGTGGAAAGAGAAGTCTGCAGGTAGTTTCGTGTTTTCGACTGGATGAAAAGTTCGTTTTTTAGCCCCGATCATCTGTTTGAAAGAGTGACTTTTCCTGCTTTAACGTTTTCGGCGCCGATGTTTACATCCGGTCAAGGCAGCGAGCGATTTGTTTTTGTTGTAGTAGAAAGACTATTGCAGTTACAACAAACATCATGATATTTGTTATACTTTTGAACTGCAACGTAAACGTTAGTTTGAAAAGACCGTTGCGAGATTTGTTAGTTCCTAAACGTGTAAAGTCCTACAGTTTCCGTGTAACCTACTACCGTAGTCAATAACACGAACGAGTGCTCGAGGGTTCAAAACTGCTTCTTTTTTTCCTCTTTTTTTTTATTTTTATTAAATGCAGCTTTTCGAGAACTTGTGAAATACATGTGCTGCAGTTGTCAACAAATATATGTAATGGGCATGTTGTTGTGTTTTGCAGGCAGTTCATCAATGGATCTTGTCGCTATGGTCCGAGTTGTTACTATCTGCATGAGTTTCCTGCAGTACCTTCGTTTCAGGTTCAGTGTAGGTACTTCCAGAAAGGTGGCTGCTGGTTTGGTGACCGTTGCAGGTAAGGAGCCAGCTGACCTTTTTTGAACATCATATGTTATTAGAAAAGCGGTTTATGAGTTGCATGTCTTGCAGGTATCTCCATGTTCCTCAAGCGGGTGAAGGTTCTTCAGGGAGCAGCAGACGCGGTTCAGCACCTGCGGGGTTCTTCTCTGCGCTGGCGGGCCGTTCTCTGGCTGACCGCCGAGGATCTGAGCCCTCTCTTCTCCCACATCAAGGAGCCCGCAGCCTGAATCGGAGGGGTTCAGAGCCACTGGTCACAAGTATGAGCGTGCTGCAGCAGAACTTTGAATGCTTGACTACAGGCATTGCAGAGGAGGAAGAGTTCGGTGTTGTGGAAGATGGACCTCCCCAGCAAGGTATTACGGTTTATTCACGCTTTTCTTTTAAACGACCCATCACATTTTCCTTTTATGAATTGAATGTTGTTGTCCTCTTCAGGTGCAATGAGACCACTGCAACAAATCAGTGCTACAGACTCCAGTTCTTCGCATAACTACAGCTCATCAGCCTTTGTTTCTGGCGCAGCACCTGCTGAAGTCCAAAATGTAACCGTATCTGAAGCTGAAACGGAGGTCACAAACACTATATGTTTCCTTAGCTCCTTGACTGCTCTATTTGGAGATCATAGGCTTGGGTTTAATGAAATATTATTGGATTGTAGGTGACCGGTTCACCAGAGAGACCAAATCAGGGTGGTGCTGCAGTATTGACGGAGCAACAGCATTCAAGGGCCTTAGACCAAAGCAAAGATGTGGCCTGTGGCATCTGCATGGACAAGATTTCTGAGAAATCCACCACTCCGGAACGGCGTTATGGCATCCTACCCAACTGCAATCATGCTTTCTGCATCAGCTGCATTGTTACCTGGCGAAAAACAAAGGACTTCCAGGAGGATGTCATCAAGTGAGGTTTTTTTTTCTTTTCTTTCTGACTCCCCTTCTCCCTTTTGCATTTATAAAACTGTATATTAATTAAGTTTCTTTTGTTTAACTTCCTTTTTTTTATTATGTAAACAGGGGCTGTCCACAGTGCAGAGTGAAATCCTCCTTTTACATTCCCAGCAAGCACTGGGTCTGTGATGGGGAGGAAAAGGCATCATTGATAGCCGCTTTCAAAGAAAGAAGCAGGTTGGAATGGTTCACATTCATGCTGTCAAATCTTTTGTAATGGTTTATGTGATCCTTTACATTGAATCTGGAGTTTTGTTTATCTCTAGTAAGTTAAAGTGCACTTTCTTCATGCGTCACGGATGCTGCCCCTTTAAATCGGAGTGTATCTACAGCCATGACATGCCCCCTAATCATACACACCGTCGCAGGCGCTCGGCATCCAGGGTAACGTTTGTTTAACTAATTTTATTTTATTGTTTGTGCATGTTATGTTCCATGTTTGTAAACTACAATTTGTTGTGCTTTTTAAAATTTTTTATAAATAAGTGGGAAACGTTCACTATGCTGCATTGCAGTGCTAAGCTTGCTGTATAGATATACATCATCAGTTAGCCATTTTAATCTGAGTTGTTTTTAGGACACAGCTGAGATGTTGGAGGATTTGGGCATTGATGGCATCCAACTTTGGAGCTATATCTTTGCCCTAACTCTGCTGGATGAAGACGACGAAGACCTTCTGGATTTTCTTGATGACTAAGGACCTTCTAGAGTCATGTATATGTTGGCTCAGCTTTGAGTGAACTTTGCTTATCTTCTGCACTGAAATCTAATGGTCTCTTTGCGGTTGGCTTCACTTAAGCAAGTCCTAAATGTTTGGCTAATTGTTTAGCTGTGTAGATTTACTATGTGTGTGTGTGGGGTTTTTTTTTTTTTGTGAGTGAAAGTCTTTTGCCTTTAGTTCAAGGGAGTGTGTGGGGGAATAAGTTTGAATGCTCAAATCTCAAACTGAGTGTCTCTTCAGGTTTAGTTGGGGAGAAACCTAGGCAAAAAAAAAGTTAATGTTAACTGAATGCATGATCACTTATTTCAGCTTGCTTTTCACTTGTTGATCGTTTAGTACTTCCATCTGTGCTGATTCCTGATTGTTGCACCCTTTTGTCTGATACCTTTATATATGAAATCAGATTTTAATTTTGTATACTTTGTGTAGTAGTTAATATTATTGCCAGTATTTGCAAAACACTAAATGTGCAACTTGTCAGCAGGCTTTTGATTATATTGTTCTCTTCAGCAGTGTTAACAGGTTATACCAGGACTTGATGTCACATTTTATTACTTTTAGTACGTGTTTATATTCAAAGAAAAGTGAAAATAAAAAATGTTCTACTGTTTGCCTTACTTGATCCTCTCGGTCTCTTTAATTTGTATGTGTGCTGCCACAGATGCTTTGAGGAGGGTGGGGGCACTCTGGAGAAGTTGTATTTTCTACAAATAATTCCATTTTAAATGAAGATGATACTATGGCAAAACCGGTTCAGAATGTCGCCAGAGGGCTTGTCTATTGTAATTCCGCTCCAAACCTGCAGGAGTCTCCACTGTACAATAAGCGTTTGTTTAGAGCCACATAAAGAACTGATCCGAAACTTTGTACACACAACTTCCTTGATCTTTCAGCAGTGTTATGATCTGTCATTGTTTTGATAATAAATATATCTGCGGTGTCTGGGCGGACCGCTACGGCTATCATTTTGAAATGACAGTAGTAGCAGGCTTCGTCGGTGGTGTCCGATATCTGTGATTGCGCTCCAGTGATGGATCTGAAAGCTCTGGTGCAGCGTTTTGACGGACGGGCCCGGTTGCTGGTTCACGCACTGCATTCAGGAGCAGCCGGAGTGAGCAATGCGCAGACAGTTTTCAATAAACAGCGCAGATCTGATCCAGATTACACCCTCACTCAGTTTTTGGAAACTTTGTGCCAGCGGGAAGCGTCTGTGCACGAGCACGCTCTTGTTCTGTAAGTAGACCGTCACAACGCAAGATGGGTGCGAAATGATCCTAATTCTGTTGAAAATAATGCCACCAGGCAAACAGTCATAATTATGAAATATTTTACTACACAGTTTTTTTTGTTTTTTTTGCCTTCACCTGTAACTGTCTAGTGATGTATGAAAAAAGTGGACTGGAGTTTAGTATAGGCTAAATAAAAGGTTCAACTCGACTGCGTTCAGATATGTGGCAAAATTCGTAACATTTTTAACGTGATTGACTTTTTTTGTAAATCAATGCCTCAAAAGCCTGTTCATATATATATAAATATAATCATTTGCATATATGCATATAAATATATAATAATTTGCTCTAATCAACTAAACAGTTGATTATGCAATCGTTATTTAAAGAATAAAATGGAAAATAAAATCAATATTTTGAATTAAAAAGTCATTTTGAATGAGTCCTATTGTGTTGTGAAATATGTCCCTTGCCTCTTAAGGGTTAAAGATCCGTCTATTGTTAAATAATACACTGAATTCGTTTTTGCGAGTAATTCTTCTATTTTGTTTTACAGTAAACCTTTGGTGTGCCTGTTTTCTGAAGGCTTTAAGCGAAATCTGCTGTGTTTTCTACATCTGATTCACCCTGGACTGCCCAAAGACCGTGTTCTTTACCTGCTTCAGTGTCTGACTCAGGATGACGTGGAAAATCAGTGGACTTGGGCCTTAATCAAGCAGCTCCAAAGAGATATTGAGGGCACTAGGAAAGGGACCCTCCTCACCTCAAACTGTACGGGGAAACTAAAGAGTCTCTGTGAGAGATTCAGGAATGCTAATGCAAAGGGAAGATGGGCCTCTTGTTTTGAGGGGCTTGGAGCAGAGGGTAAAGAGACCAAAGTGCCAGTTTATTCTCAGAAAAAGAGAAAAAGTGACAACATGGATCACGATGGAGATGCCCAGGAAGATCACCAAAGTAAAAGGGTAAAGATGGATTTCTGTCCAAGTGAAGAAGAAGAAGAGAGGTTGACTGAAGAGGAGGAACCTAAAATGAGAACATCACAGCTGGACCAAAGTGCTGCTTCTGTATCACAGGCTCGCTCTGATGCGTTGGGGTCTTCAAAAAATCTGCCAGACCACATGAAGGTAAAGTGGAATTCACTGCAGTTAAACTGATTTTTCATGCTCAGAAATAGCCTATTTTCCATAATTTGACAAGTAAAAGTTCACAGACAGTTGCACAGATAGGTTGTTAAAATCTCTTCATGTAGAAACCTCAGAAAAGTTGCTGTTCTTCAGGATAAATAAATGATCGATTCATGTTCTTTTTTTTTTCACATTCCCTTTTTAGGCTGCTGTTCCCGTGATCAAAGAATTACTAGATACAGAGTCAGTGGTAAGAACTCTTTGTTTTATAATGCCAATGTAATTGCTTTTATCTTTTCTTTTGTATAATTTTTTCACACATTTATTTTTTCCTTCACAGTGGGACGAGAGCTCTGGGTCTGCTCTGAAAGTATTTCATGAATGTGACCCCAATGAGGTTTGTGGTGTTTTACTTGAAAATGTACTGCTTTTTAGGTTTGTCATCCAGAAATGTTTCCATCACTATGGATTTGTTGTATCTGATCACAGGTGGAGGTATTGTGTTCAATGCTGTGTTTGTCAGAAGCATCTGACCAGAGTTTACCTCAGTTCTGTAGCTGGCTGTTGGAACTGTCGCCAGACCTCAGTCACAGCACTGCTTGTGCTGTGATCACACACCTTCTGCTGCCAAAAGTTAGTACAGTACATTCATGTTTGTCACAGGATACGATTTTAAAATGATTTTAACCAATATACTACTGTTCAAAATTTTGGGATTGGGAAATTAAATAATTTTTATTCAGCAAGTACTATTAAATTCATCATAAGTGACAGTAATAAATACTTGAACTTTCTATTAATCAAAAAATCTTGATAAAATGTAAATCATAATTTCCACAAAAATATTAAGCAACACAACACTTTGCATTATTGATAATAATAAAATGTTTCTTGAGCTGCAAATCAGCATATTAGAATGATTTCTGAAGGGTCGTGTGACATGGAAAACTGGAGTAATGGCTGCAGAAAAAAAATAAGCTTTGAGATCAAACGTATAAATTTGATGTAACAAAATAAAAAACAGTCATTTTAAATTGTAATAATATTTCACAATATTATTTTGTTTACTATATTTATTATCAAATAAATGCAGCCTTGGTGAGCATAAGTGACTAAACCTCAGACTTTTAAACTGTAGTGTGTATGGGTGTTTGGCTCCTTTTATGGTTATTTATGCATTTCTCTGCCTTAGATTCTGTCCCTCGCAGAACCTGCCTCTCGCTGTTTGGTAACAGCCGTAATATCTCTTTGCAGTCGTTACCCCAGGCCAACCTGCCAGGCTCTGATAGAGCCAGTTTTACAGAAGGGACAAACTGGTATGAGTAGGTTTTTTCACCTGGATATCAAATATGCACCATTCGTATTTATATATTTAATATCAGATCTTTTTTCAGTAAACAGTAATTGCATTTTTTTTTAGGAAGCGCCCAGGCAGAATTACTCTGTAAACTAGTAGTGAACTGCCTTGAGCCACATCACAGGCTTCTTGTATTCCGGTCAGTCTGAATATCGCAATTAAGCTTTAAGAAAGAAATGGGTCTTAGTCATTTATGGAATAAATTGTGCTTGAGTAATTTGACACGGTTTAGCTGATAATAGAAATTTGCTTGCAAATCTTAGAACAATACTTGGAGTGTCCTGGGATGAGGGAGTGTTATCAGTCATCCATGCATTGCTGGATTCAAAGGTACTTCAGAAAGCTCTTTCCAGTCTTAAAGGATCTTTTAGTCTCATGTTAATGGTTTCTGTTGTTATGCTCACAGCTTGAGCTGAGTGAGAAGGATTTCTCTCTCTTCACCGATCAGCTTTGCAGCCAGTCTCCACATTTCAGCAAATCTATGAAGTTTGCCAAGATGTTGCTGAGTGTCTTGACCAAGTATCAGTCACATGTGAGTATAACTGTAATGACGGGAAATAACTCATTCAGATAGTTTAAAAAAAAACGCCTCAACCAAACCTTATATTAAGTAGAATTTTATGGTCCTCAGAGCATCTTTAGTTCTTCAAAACCCAATTCGCAATTTACAGAGGCATATGATAGTAACCAATAAACATCAGATTAATAAATATCTAGATGTTAAAATGTTTTTTTTTAAAGCTAGCATAAAACTGCTGATTAATTAGTTGTTTTTTACACATTTCAGGTGAATCCTGCATGCCACCACACACTTTCCAGTTGCCTGTCTTTCAATGAAACCTTCCTCAAGAAATCATTGCAGGCTGCATTAAAAAGGATTTCCCTTTGAATCATATTAAACCCATTTTAAATGGCACTTTAGTATATGAGTTTCATTCAGTCTGATTGTATAATTTTGTGAATATATTTTGTAAATGTAATAATAATTCCTTTGTACTGTATAGTTGTATTGAGATAAAAAAATATAAATTTAGTTGAATTACACTTCATATCAATATTTATTTATATTATTTATTAAACTAAATTTTTTTAATTAAACGGTCTGAATTCATATTATTTAAATGTAATGTCCTGGACACATTTGAATGCTTTAAGGTGAATTATTGTATTATTGTATATTACTTATTGTATGTGTGTGTATGTATATATATATATATATATATATATATACATGCATATATAATGTAATGTAATTATGCATGGCACACACACTTTTTTTTGACACATTAAAAACAATAGTTTGTGAAATGTAAAGTTCTCTTCTGGTTACATTTCTATTGCCACAACAATCATGGCGGCTTCGGAAGTCCGTTTTTCACACTCGGGCGCATATATTCGGCGCAACTTCCTTTCATACTTCCTTTTTCGAGCTCCGTGAGAAAGGAGAGGTGTCACGGCAAAATGAGGCACGTGAGAAATGTTCATATATAATGTATTAAATCCTTTGCACGTTTTTATTTCACCGTTTAATAGATATATAAGCAAATATATCATTAAGCAATGTCAGGCAGAGACTGAGATTTGATTTCGTTGACAATCTCGAGCAGCTCTTGAGAGATAACGTACCGCGAAGCATAGCGGGTTATCTGGAATACAATCCGGTTGAATCCGACGATTAGTTAACTTAATCAGAAATTATTCTTGTTCTATCTGTTATTATTCATATCTAACCTAAGTATTATCGATATATTGATGTTTGTTTAACGGAGTTTTGGAGGCATGTTAATGATTCATTCACCGGTCAGTCTTATGTAATCATCGCGATATTTGCACTCGAGGCA